TGCCTACAACTTTCCAACCAATTCCAGAGAACTCTCTTTCCACCACTTCATAATAACTCCCAAGCTGCAACCTTTATCATGCCCATTTCCAAGCAAACCTCAGGGTTTTTTCAAAGTAGAGAACGATATTTATTGTAGTATTTACATATTTCTTAACCATTTAACATGTGTAAAATTATGTTACCATTTTTATTAGATTCCTATCTTTTTTATATGTCACTGATGAAGTTTTTGAGTATTGTGCTCCTAACCCCATTTTCACTGCAATTTTTTATTACAACTTTTCATAGCACGGTGATTTTTAAGAAGGTCTATGCTGCATTATAGCAGAACTGACTGTATCATGTAACACTCTAAAATCAATCCATTTCTGTACATTTCCACTGCTATCAGTTTAATCCCAATAACTATTATCTTTTACCTGGACTATATAGCAATGGTCTAATTCTGTGGTTCTCAACCAGGGGACAGTGCCTCTTCACTCCCACCCTTGTCTAGGCCACTGGAAATGTATGTGTACATGGTGGGGAGGGAGTATTTTTGGTAGTCACAATAACTTGGAGAGAGGCATTACTAGCATTCAGTGAACAGGGGGAACAGAGATGCTACAAGTTCAGCAATGTTGCCCATACAGTGATTTGCCATCCCAACATGCCAGCTATAACCCCATTAAGAGAAATCAGTACTGATCCTCCCATATCAACTCTTAGCTCTCTCTACAGTGTAGCCAGAAAGAGCTTTTTCAAAATGTGAATCTGATGATAACTTTCTTATGTTTAGTGCCCTTTAATAGTTTCTCATTACCCTAAGGGTCAAAATCTAAAGTGTGACCTACAAGCTTCTGCCTCCCCCTCCAATTTCATCCTGTACAACTCTCCTTTCTTTCCCATATTCACTATGCTCCAGGGATGTCATTCATTCAACAAATAATGACTCAACATCTACTGTGTACCAGGAACTATTCAAAGTGATGAGGATAGGGGCACCTGGGTGGCTCAGTCAGTTAAGCATCCGACTCTTGACTTCAGCTCAGGTCATGATCACACAGTTTGTGGGTTCAAGCCTTGTGTTGGGCACTGTGCTGATAGCATGGAGCCTGCTTGGGATTCTCTCTCTGACCCATCCAGATTGTACGTACTCTCTCTCTCAAAATAAATAAATAAACATTAAAAAAAGAAAAAAACCCAAAGTGGTGAGGACAGAACAGTGAACAGAGGACACAAAAATTCTCCACTCTCCTGGCACTTACATTCTAGTCCCATAAAACTGCCAGGCTTCTCCTTATCTCAGGGCCTTGCCACATGCTTAGCTAATTCCTCCTCATCCTTCAGATCTCAGCTGAGACACCCTTTCTCAGGAAACCATTCTCTGACCCTGACCCTGTAAATCAGGGCCCCCTATCAAAAGCCATGACTCAGGGCTTACAATACAATTAGAATTATTTAATATCCATCTTTTCTATTATATCTCTAGGCCTGGTACAGCACCTAGAACACAGAGGGCACTCAAGAATATGTATTTACTAATGAAGATAGGTATGTTTATATATACATATGCATGTGTCTTCATGCTTCATGAATACATATGTATAAGCATATTATTCATACCTGTGTATACTGCCATATATTTCTGAAGATGACTATGTGAATATATATACACCCATATGTATGAATGGAAACATACGTACAATTTAGGGTATGCCTACTTGGGTATATTCATTCACATGAGTAAACAGGTGTATGTTTATGCATGTGTATGTGTGTATGCATGTGTGCGTGTGTGCGTGTGTGTGTGTGTGTGTGTGTGTGTGTATTCTTCTGGCTCCTCAGTGACAGCTCTGACCTCCTGGAGGGAGCTGGGAGCAGGGCCCCAAGTCTTCTCTAAGCTGACAGTTCAATAAGAGTATAAGATCATTCAATGACACTCCAAATGTCAGCAAACATTGGCTTGCTCCTCTCAGCTACAGGGGAAGTAGGTGGAGGCGGGAGATGTGGAAACTTGGCTGCTGAAAAACTGTTCTTTCCTGATGCAATGCACATCATTTCTGGACAAGAGAGGCCTTAGGTATGGGGATGTGAATTCAGTCCCAGTCCACTCAATGGGCAAGTCTTGGTGTCCAAGACTGCCCCTACTTTTTCCATGGGCAAAGTTCTGCTAGTGGAGTTGAGCAGGGGAGGAGAAGAAAGGAAAGTGGGGAGGAAAGAGTAAGATCAAGGACAGGAGAGGGCCCTGTAGACAGCCAGGCCTGGGTCACACAGGGGTAAAGGAGGCACAGAATAATACATTGCATAATACCCATGCAACCCTGGCAATGACCTCTCTGGCTTGCTTGCTCTTATTGTTACTCTTTTTAAGGAAGCAGGAATCTTTGTGTGGCCTGTACTAAGTCATGTAGTATAAAGGTCAGACCTGCAGACCTCCAGGGCCCTGAAGCCTCTCTGTCTTGAATGGCTGCTGACAAGGACTGGCCCAGAGTTTGTAATTAAGTCATCTTTCCTGCTGGGTCCTGAGGCACAGGTGGAACATGATGTGGCTAGAAGGCCAAGAAGAGGTTAGACCCCTCTAATGCCACTCTCCTCATGCCACTCTTGTTTTTCCTAGACATGCTCAGTTGACTCAGCAAGAGGCAATCACAAGGCCAACTAGGAACAGAGTCTCCAGTTTCCGCTTGTACCCATTTCCCCCTCTATGGCTCAGCACAGTCTGGAAGAGAACCAAGCTGAACAGGCTCAGGACAGCCTGCCTCCAATGCCAGCAGCATCAAGGTAGCCTTGAGTGGCAATGTTAACACACGGGTCAGCTGTTTTCCTGCCTCTCTGCCAAGGAACCTGGAGGCAGGGAGCTATCCAGATACCAAAAACTCTAGTGAACTTCACAGAGCGATTGTTCATGGTCAGCGCCTGCCTCGCCTGGCCAGGCCTTCACATTGCATTTGCTGAGGCCAGCAAACAGCCTCAGATGCACTCTGACAGCTGGCATGCTGTCCTCAGGAGTGCAGGCCTAGCCACACCTTCATGCATAGCCCCGCCAAGCCCTGCATGAGAGGGCCTTGGTGGAGCTAGCTCTCAAAGATCAGTCAGCCACCCATCAACTATTCACTGAGCACATACTCTATACCTAGCCCTGACCTGGCCACCGCAGACACAGAGCGGAGCTGGCCTCAGTCTCTGTGCTCCAGATAGAAATGTCTACAAGGAGGGGCGCCTAGGTGGCTTAGTCGGTTAAGCGTCCGACTTTCACTTAGGTCATGATCTCGCGGTTTGTGGGTTCAGGCCCCGCGTCGGGCTCTGTGCTGACTGCCAGTTCGGAGCCTGGAGCCTGTTTCAGTCTGTGACTCCCTCTCTCTCTCTGACCCTCCCCTGCTCACACTGTCTCTCTCTCTCTCTCCTAGAAATAAATAAAAACATTTAAAAAAAAAAAAAAAAGAAATGTCTACAAGGAAACATATGTGGACTCAGTTCCAACACTCAAAGATCACAGATGTCCAAAGGGTCGAGGAGTCTCAAGATAAGAGACTGACTGCTGAGCTTCCCCAAAGAGGTGACACCTGAACTGTGTCTTCAGGAAGAGGGAATATGCCCAATGAAGATAAATGGGGGACACTTCAGAAAGAGGTAAGGCCACAGGCCAAGACCTGAAGGTAGGACAGAGCCTGGTCCCCCAACCAAAGAGGGAAGTTAGTAAGTAGCTGCTGCTCAGGTCCAAGGGAGAGGAGCTGGAGAGGTGGGTAAGGGTCAAAGTACAAACAAGCTAAGGACCAGGTGTAAAGGACCCGAGTACCAGGGGACAACAAAGGGATTCACAATGTTGCCACAAAGAATGGCTGCCCTGAGACCTACGGAACTAAGTCAAAGGTCACTCTCTTCTACTATTTCCACATGCTCACTTAGCTCAAGCCCATACACACACCAAAAGAATGCTGTTCCTCTTGCCTGGAAAGTCTTCTCTCCTTTTCACACCCATATTCCACCTTCCTTTAATGCCCAGTTCAGGACCCAAATCCTCACAATACCTAGTTTTACCCTTCACTGACCTCCCTCTTCTCTAAGGACCCCTGGGAGCCACTACTCTGATCTCTGGTGTGTTCTCTTTTCTCTGATATCCTGGGAGTCACTAAGCTAACCAGCAGCATGGGGTCGCTCAGGTTGCTCCAGGGCTGTTACCCTTACATCAGAAGGATTTATGGGTGTGAGTCTCCCTAGTGGACTGGGCCTCCTGGAGAAAGGATGCCAACAGAGCAGAGATCTTGCGAGTCTATTCCTATACTTTCTTTCTTCTGCTTACCTAGGAAGCATAGCACACACTAGGGAAGTACAGTTTTCTGGGTAATTCATTTTCTGCTAGGCCCCAGCTTCATAGCTGCACAAGGTCCCTCCCAGCCACAGCCCTAGCACCCACTCCCCAGGTACTTGGTGCTGCATTAGAGTCAGTCTCCTTCCTCAAATTCAAAGGGAGTTGGACTCTAGTTTGCACAGTCATTCTCACATGACCAAGGCTCTGCTGGGGCTATGCAGGATCAAAGTCAGCCTGAGCTAACTCTACCTCCCACCACAGAGAAACCAGGGCCACTCAGCAGGGTCAGAGACCACACTCATGACCACATCAAAAAAGTAAACTTTGCCAGAGGCTCAGCTAGAACCACATCTCTCCTAAGGGAAATGCAGCTCAGCTCAGTGATTCAGTTCTGAACAAGAATCTGGAAAATTTCCTTCACTGGGACTTCTCTGCATATCTGGATGATACCACATAGGGCAGTATCATACTCTGCCCCTCGGCCTGGTCCCCAAGCAGCTCCCCACTCCCAGAAAGGACCACAACCTTACAGTGCATATTAACTAGGGAAGAGGAAGGAGGGATGTCGAGAAAAGAGCAGAACAAAAAGAAAAGGAAAACGATGACAACAAAAAGAGAACAAAGATGAGTAAAGAAAATAAGGGGGGACAGGATCTGACGTAAAGGAAACCCAGAGGAAGCAGCCAACTGGGGCTCAGACACAGTACCTTTTTCAGATTAATCCACTGCTTGAAGTAATCCGCCACTGGCAAGCCCAGGTACTGGCACTGACCCGGGAGCCTACAAGAAAGGGAAAAGAAAACAAGTTGGGCACACCCATGTCCCAGGTATGGAGTCTGAATCTAGGAAATGCAAATAGACCTCAGAAGGCTATCCCATTAGCCACGGGTCCCACCCTACCCAAGAAAGGCTCCCCACCTTAGCACCCTGGACACTGGGCTCCCGATCTAAATGTGAGAACATGGAGACGCTATTCAAAATATAAGCAGCTCCTATTTTCTGATGGCCTACAATATGCTAAGGATCTTAGAGTTTCACATGATTCTTCAGAACGATGTTATGAGGTAGGTATTGTTGCCTACATTTTACAGATGAGAAAATGAGATTCAGAGGGGTTACCTAAGGTCCTAAAGGTAAAAAACTGACAGTGCCAAGAAAGGAACCCAGGTCTGTCTCACCCCAATGGACCAGTTTCTAGCTGTTTTGCTACAGCAGAGACGCAGGGATATAAGACAGGAGGAGAGAGAAAAGGAACATGTGGGACTATTTGGGCAGGGGCTTCAGTTCACCCTTAAGTCTCTAGCAATAGGCTTTCTGCAGATAGAGAAGAAACCATGCAAAAGGACAAGAGGCCAGAATTTAAACCAAGAGCCTGTTCTTATTTTTTCTTTAAATTGTAATTTATAAATGGTCTTTCCCTCTAGATATGATGTTGTACCCACATAAATCCATTCAACCAAACATTTATTGATGTTTAATAATAAACAGGCACTCAGAGCTCAAAAAGTTAAGACTTAGCCCCTGTCTATAAGGGGCTCACAATTTGTTCAATGGAATGGACAATAAAAGAAATAGACTAAACAGCCTTAAGTTGGAGCACTGGGGTACATGAAAAGATGGAGGAAGATACCAAAAATATTAGCTGGAAAGATCATAGAACTTTCTTACTAAGCTTGGCCATAGGCAATAGAAAGTCTCTGAAGAGTTGTGATTTACAAAGATTTTTCTGGGGACCACAACAATACACTAAAAAAGCTGGGCAGTAACTCAGAGACTAGACAATAGCTATAAAGATAATGAGCAAGGAACAGATAGAAGAGATGTAAAGGAGGCCTTGGCAACCAAGTGGGATGCAAGGCCCAATGAGAAGTGGTAGAGCCCAATTCAAAGGTTGGTGGCATGGCTAGTTTCATTCTACTCAGAGTCAGACACAAAGAAAGAGGCAGGGGCATAGAGAGGATATGTGACACCCAGAGCAGACTGGTATTTAGTCATTTTTATTACTGTTTTAAAATTCTCTGCCCAAATCACAGTGGACCGCTTACTACTTCACCTCTAAATACCACTGGAAGGAGGCACAAGTTGGAGAATACAGTTTTGAATACATGCATGGCACATGGTAAGCACTCAAAATCTGCTGAGTTCAAAGTGTTTAGGAGACATGTGGCCGTGGGATGATATTAGAAGGGGCAGCTGGATATCCACTTTGAGGAGAGGTCTGGACTGGAGATATAAATTGCTGAATCATTAATGTAATTTAAATGAAATTAAAGCCATGAGAGTGGATCAAGCAGGGAAGAGTACGGTGGGAGATGGCCCAAGCTAATGTCTCGTATGTGCCACTGAGCTAAAATGAAACCAGGTCGTTCCTACAAGACAACTGTCACACATATGGAACCCACTACATGCAGCAGCCAGCTCTAATTTTAGACTCCTTCAATTCTAAAAATGTTTTACGTTTGTTTATTTTTGAGAGAGAGAGAGAAAGAGAGAATGAGAGAGAGTGAGAGGATGAGCTGGGGAGAGGCAAAGAGAGAGGGAGACACAGAATCCAAAGCAGGCTCCAGGCTCTGAGCTGTCAGCACACAGCCCGAGGCAGAGCCTGAACTCATGAACCGTGAGATCACGACCTGGGATGCTTAACTGACTGAGCCACCCAGGCACCCTGGACTCATTCAATTCTAGAACATCCTTCTTTGATACTAAACTAAAATCTGTCTCTGTAACTTCTACCCATGAGTCTTTAGAAACTTAGAGAATGAGACTTCCATCTCTTCTTTACAGAATACTCCCAGGAACTGAGGGCCCAGGAAGCTTCCCCCAGAGGTCCCTTACACAATTGCACAGGAGATAATGTGCCATGAGTCAGGACTCACACAACCTGCCCTCATTTCTAGAGGGCAGGGTCCCTGGACCTTTTTCAGGGTATCAGATACCCACAGTTACACATACTCTTTTGATCTGACTTTACATCAACCTGTGGTCAACCTAAACAACCTAGATGCACACTTCCCCTTTCTAACATATATACAACTGATTTTTGAGCTTAAATTACATTAGTGTCAAATGCCACAAAGTGTTCAAGCAAGATGACAGCTGAGAAAAACCCAATGAATTTGGTATCCATGGATTAGTGGGGACAGAAGGCAGCATGCAATGTGTTAAACAGTGAGTAGGAGATAAGAAAGTGGAGACCACAGTATAAATTCCTTTTGTGAGAAAGTCTGGCAGTAAGAATCCAGTTAAGATGACTTTCCTCCCCCCCCAGAAAGTTCCAGAGCATTCCAGTCTTCCCTCCATTACTCCATTATTAGACAGACACTGAGAGGACACTGATCCCCATGTTTCAGGCAATATAGTAAGGATTTCCTTTTCTAAGACCTGGGATATTTTACCTCAAGAGGAGGTTCTTCTCAAATATGCAGGTGGTGCAGGGACATTAACTATAACCAGTCAATTTCCTGGAATGGAAATTCTGGCTGAGGCCAAGATGATTAGGGAGTATCCAGGTAGCATGTTCCAGGTGGGAACCAAGGACCAAGAATATAAGGATACTAGGCGAGCTTTCTGAAGGATGAAAGATAGCCTTAGGAGCTAAAATGTGGTTGCCTAAGGAGAACGGTATTGTTTGGATAACTTTCTTATTTCCTTCAAGTTTTCCTTCATGTTCTTATCCTTGTTATTTGTGAAAATGCTTGCTGAGCTCAGCTGTTTTTGAAAAATCACATTAAAGCCTGTGAGTGAAGGGGGCAACCAGAAGCAGCAGAATCTGCAAAGGAACAGGTCAAGGGGACTGGTCAGGAAAAAGCAAGAAACCTGGGCCACCTATCATATTCTCCCTTAGCCATTCCCAGCATCCCGATTCTTTCAGATGACGTGGATCTTATTGGCTGTGGCTAGCCCTGGTGGCAGGGGTGGGGTGGGAAGGAGGCTCCCTTTTCAGCAACATTTCAAAGGTAGACATTTTTACCCCAGTAGAAAGGGTCTAGCACAATAGGATCTTGCCTGATCCTCTTGGAGGAGGACCCATATACCAGAGGGGTTGCATCTAAGACAGACCAGACTGGCAGACTGGATAGTCAGCTGCAGATATGGCTCAGCAGCAACCCTGAGTGCTGTGTGTACCCATGGCTGACTGAAGCAGAGAAGAATGGGACTGTAATTCTCACTCAGGCTCTAGTCACTTGCAGATACACATGCAGTTTGCAGACTCACAGGCATTCAGGTTGTTGCACCCTCCAGTCTGTGGGTGGTCCTAGCCCTATGACTCCAAGACATGAGAACTAGAAATGTAGCAGGGTCCAGGAACATCTTCACAGAGCCACAGAGCCAAATGCCAGAACTTGAAATTCCAGATGCCTCACGTGAAGACAGCTACACATTTCTAAGACAGAACCCTACCCAGCTTAGAGAGCACCAAGAGAAACCCTGTGAGAAAGGTAGGTCAGAGTAATAGCCATTCCTACATAAAATAGGAAACTGATGTCCAGAGAAGAAAAGGATTTGCTCAATCTCACAAGCCAAAGGGAGAGCTAGAAATGGGATCTCAGCCGTCTGCACAAGGCATCAGTCATGCACATGCTCTCAAGAGTTCTTTATAGTCCCTGGGAAGGCACGGTTTGGGACTTTAGAGAGGCAAGTAGCATGGTGGTTATTGCTCAAGGTCACAACTGGGTCAAAGGTTCTTAGGAGCCTAAGGCTAGGTTCAGTGGGTACCAGTGGGTACATGGTTCCACTAATTTGGAAAGTAAAAGGGCAAAAGTCCCCCTGGCACAAAGGGTCTCAACACTGAGTTCCCACCAGCTATTGATCCCAGGAAAAGAGCCACTGGCAGTGGGCCCTGGACTAGCCTGCGGGCATGAACGTGCAGGCAGGTTTATGGTGCCCAGGTCTCCATGCAGCTGGGATCACTGGGCACAGAACTCCTCAACTGCCCAAACATCATCTGGCCATGCTTATTACTGTTGCCCAATGAAATTTTATGCACCGAGTCCACAGGTGTGATTTCCCCTTCTTTATGAGGGTCGGAATGACATCACTGATGGCCAATAGAAAAGAGCCAATTATGTCCAGGCCATAAAAAGGAATGAGATTTTTTTCAATCAAATCGAAACTTCCTTTGGCTTCACGAATGTAAGGGGCCCCCTTTAAGGAAGGGCCCCCCAGCCCTGCCAGGGCTCTAAACTGAGGGATATAATCACTTTCCAAATACTATGAGACCTAGGGCTAGAGAGGGGCTCTGCCCCCAGCATTTATCATGTGACACTGCTTTTTATCACATTGGGCCCCTAGGGTCATCAGAACGGAACCTCAAACCCTCCTCAAAGATGCCTGACTACTAGCTCCTTGCTACTCTATCCAGGCAGGAGTTAGAAAAGACGGAGTATTCAAACTCCCTTATTACTCTTTCTAAACAAAAAAGAAAGCAGAGAGCCCTGCCCCACTTAGAAAGAGTGTGAGAAGAAGAGGGGTGTAAGGAACTGCCCTCCCCCCCTCCCCAACAAGCATAGGGCACAAAGCATAAGGAACCCGGCCCTCCCTACCCCACCCCTCATCCAGCCCCACCACCTGGAGCCCAGTGCTTGGGCTGGGTCCAGACAGCCCTGATGGCAAACAGGTGTGACCAGCTCGGCGCCAGCCAAGGCAGGGGACTAGCTCATTAAGGGAACACCACCCTCGCTAACGGGTAGAGGCAGGATGAAGCCTTTGTGAACAGGAGCTTAGCTTTGAAGATTAGCTGCAGCAGAGCTGGGGGGCTCTGCTAGAACTGCTGGACTTGA